GTGGCCCCTTGTTGAGAAGCATGGCCTTGCACAATCTGAGCCCCACCCCAATTACCCTCTTCTCTCCTGTCCCACGACTGTCCCTGCTGTTTGCTCTACTCCAGCCACACTGGCCTTCTGGCTCTTTTGGGCTGGGCTGGGCATCCCGTGGGTGTCTCTTTACTGACTATCCCTTTTACCTAGAATATCTTCCCTGGGACTCCTCCATGGGGCACCCCTCACCTCTGTCAAGTCTTTGCCCCATTACCACCTTCTCAGCATCCATAACCCCCACCACTTCTCTTTCCCTCCCCTACTTTTCCCCATAGCACTTATCACCTAATTTACTCCCTTATTTACTTATTTTGTTTATGGTCAGTCACCCCCACTGGAGTAGCATCTGCATGGGAGGGCCTTGTACACATTTGTGCCTCCAGCTCCTAGAGCAGTGCCTGGCGCCTAGTAAGTGCTCACTTTGTTGAGTGGGTGAGTAAATGAATGCAGGGACAACTAACACTTTCTTAACCTAGACCCTTTCCAAGTAGGTTTTTACCACAAACCGAAAACATTTCATTAATGTCCAAGTGGAATGTTTGACTTCAAGCTGTTGAGGCAAATTGAGATTCTGCACTGGGTTTTAAAATTAATCTCTCAGAGCCACTTTTCATTTTATTTGATAGACTTTTACATATGAATATACAATAATTTAGCAAGGAAGTGTCATTTTGTAATTTAGCTAAGCTACTTTTTAAATACATTCATTTTGCCTCTTATGCTGGATGAGTTAATTGGACCTAGATTAGTGATGTCATCATAGTCAGTGGGTTAAATATCTCACTGTTGGCATAACAGTTTACAATATTCAGTGATAAAACAGTTTTTCACAACCAATATACTAAAATCAGTTTCCTTATAAGTGTTCGTGGCCTCTTGAAAGTCAACAGTCTTGAAACTATGAAAAGAAACCTTTTTAATGTTTATAGGAAAGCTCCTTATTGCTAGAAAATAGACAGGAAGAAATCTAACTTTATAAATGACATGATACAGAATACACAAAGATTTAAGTAAAATTTTATGGTCATGGGTATGTAAAAATTTTTTTTCCCCATCTTTTTCCTCAAACAATTTGAAGTTTAAGAATTAATTCAGTGTTTTACTTGGTCAAAAGCAATTGTTTCAACAGTTTGCTAAAGTTTTTTTCAAGGTTCTTGCTTAAAACAAAGTAAAACAAAATATATGGCTTTTGTTTTAGCTTTAAATTCAATCAAAACGAAATAAGAAATATTTGATTTGTGGCTTTTAATAATTTACTTTCACAAGCAGCATAGTTTCCATGGAACTCACCAGATAAATCATAGGCAAAATGTATCCCCCAAATAACCAAAGAAATTTATCTGCAATTTGGAACGTTTGGATACAAACCAAATACATTTTAAAGAGCTGCCAAAAATAACGGCCCGTAGTGATTTATTATGATGCTGAAGCCCGCCTTGGGATTGTATGCGTTGGGTGTGCCAGTGCTTATGTTTCAAAGGTGGTCGCACATCTCCAGATGTGCAAAGGGCTCCAGACACGTCCCTGCTAATAGCAGAGGTGTGCTCTGGTGTCCATTTGTGCGCGTGTTAGGGGACAATTGCGCAGTTTGCCCTTCCCCGTTGCTAGTGGGAGTGGGGTCTTGGAGTGCCACTGGAATAAGCATTTCCAGAGGCCCCCCGGGAGGGTGAGATGTGGTAGAAAGCTTTATTTTCATGGAATTACATCCCTGGGTTTCAAAAGTCCCATTTCCCTTAAACCAGTCCTGCAGAAGGTGCAGCTGGGGCTTCAATTGAGCTAGAAGCAGAGCCAGTGGCCAGAGTTCCCGTCTCATGGGGGAGGCGGGTCCAGTGGAGCATCAGGCTCTTCGCAGTCCATCCGTCCGTCCGTCCACTGCATGTGGGGTCCCCGTGGCTGTGGGCCATGTGGGCCATGTGGGCGAGTGCAGAGCTCCAGAGCCCGCCAGCCAGGAGGCAGGCCCGAGCAGCAAGAGGGGCGGGAGGAAACGCCTTTGTCCAGGAGCTTATGCACCTCAGATTTCACGCTTCCTCTGTCATCCGGATTTCCCTGGGCATGCTTATAACAGTCGGCCTTCCCTTTGCAGGGTTAGTTTACAATGGTATCACGAGGACAGACTTTCTTTGGAATGCTACCAGGGAACCCCGGTGGGGTTTGGGCGGCCTGTCCCTGTGTCCAATTCAGCGGAGGCAGGGGTGGATCCTCTAAGGCTTTATTGAGAAGGCTGGCCAACCGAGAAGACAGGGAGCATATGAGCATCCAAAACCTGTCTTCAGGAGTGGCCTGAGGGATAGGGTTATTTAGGGAAATGGGGTAAACTGAGGCTGGGAACGGAATGCAGCTATTGTGCAGCCCTGGAGGCCCGCAGGCGTCAGCTATTGTTCTTGGTCATCTGGTGAAGTTTCAATAAGTTGATATTTTGACTGCTGGTTGGGTCGCCCTGACCACGCCTGCTCAATGGTACATTGTTCACAGCTGTGTCACCTCCTTAATTGCTTCGTCTGGGATCAAGGGGAGTGTATGGGCACAAAGGCCTCCGAGAAAGAAACCTAAACTCCTGCTCACATGAGAGTATGTGTTCTATAACTTATAAGTGATATATTTCAGATTAATTCAGGTGCTCAATCTTTGGAAATTTTAAGTGCCCCATCAGGAAGACAGTTCTAGAAAAGCAGTTTCCTATTTAAAAGACTGCCTTTCTAACAGGCCTTGATGTAGGTTCTCCCAGCTTTCAACCACAAAGTCTATGCAAACACACAAGGAACAAACTCATGGCTTCGTGAAAATCAGACAGGATGCCCACTGTTGCCAGAATGCCAAGGGAACCCCCACTGGCCGCAGAGAGGGGCAAGAGATGACGGGGCTCGGAGGCAGAACACCCAGCTCCAACGTAAGAAGGAAAGGCCATAGTGTTTATTCAATTGTCTGGGTTTCTAAGATCTGGTTGAAGAGTGTGGTACAACTAAAGGAGACTGGACTACACAGATGGCAAGGATGTGGCAGGTTCCTTAACCAAAGGGTATTCAATTAAGGAAATCAACACGCCTATGGAAAACCTGGCGGTTCGGGCTAAATGTCGTGGTTGGCTGCTGAGGTCAGAGGTACATCCACTCATGGTGTAGTCACGGGGGCAAGGGCAATCGTCTTATGGGGTAAAATGTCTCAGCATGCAAGGGACAGTTTTTCTTAGAAAAGGAGTCTTTGGGACAGGGCAAGAGAAGTGGAAGGCTTTAGAATGCAGTCATAAAACGATTTTGCGTAATGACCTCTGCAGGTGTCCCTCCCGGGAGTGCAAGTATGAGTCAGTCCACGGAAATTTAAACACTCAGCTCACATATACATAGGTTAAAGATAAAAAAAGGATTTTTAAATCACGAAACTATCTACGTTTTATGTAAGCTAAAATGGCATTTGATAAAATTCAATAATCATTCCAGCATTCTACTCGGTGGTAAATTCTACAAGCCTCCCTTGAAAATCAGAATTATCCTGGAAGAGCCACCAATGTAGCCACGAGGGCTGGAGGAGGGAAAGCGATGTGGGCATTATCTGCGATTGGCGTGCGGGGGGTGGTTTTATCTAGAAAACACAAAGTCAACTAAAAACTAACCTGTAATGAGAGCTCAGGGTGATGATGGGTAACAACTCTAGCATTTTCATGTCTTTAATGACCACTGTTTAATATGATTAATACAAGAAAGGTATGAGGAAACTATCTCATTAACAAGAGCCACAGAAAAATCTAAATGTACAGCAATAGATTTTATCAAGAAATGGACACGAGCTCTAAGACTTGATTGAGAGACAAAGTAAAGACTGGACAAGGCTGCTTTCTCTTTCAGGAGGGACTGTGCTCTTGTACTTGGGCGGGGAGGCCCTGGGTGGGATCTGTTGGGCAGGGATTCTGGGCTTACACCTGGAGAAGAGGCAGAGTCTCTAAGGTTGGGTCGGAACCTGGGGAGCTGGAGAGGGAGGGAAGGAAGGTGGGTCCAGGAGAGGCTGAGGCTTTGGAACATTCGAGATTTGCTCACCTGCCTGATGTGTGGGGCTTGGAGGGAGCCGCCGGGAAGGGTGCTTTTGTCTGTCTGGTTTTGATTTTTTTAAGCAGTAAGACTTATGCAACTCTCCTGGGCTCCCTTTTCTCCCCCTTCGTGAAAATCTGCAGTAACCATCTATATAGCTTCACACGGGCTTTGGAGCCAGAGTTGCATTTCTTGTAGACACGTCACCCTGAGGGTGGCCAGGAGGAGAGAGAAGGAAGGCTCTGTTTTTTCTGGATTTTACAGCTGTCTCAGAAATGAACCTTCCAATCAGATTCGTCCTTTGGGTCTGAGTTAAGGTCTTTTACTAAAAGAATGTTAATATCATAAACAAAGAGAAAGCAGGTGACTTGAATTATAGTCCTTTCATTTTCCCTTGCACCCGGGTCACCTGAATGGCTATAGATTGAGGTTGATTTACAGGCTATTCAGTAAATTCAATGCTTTGGAAGGGGGGTCCGAGGAGGACATTTGATGATGATTTTGTCACAAGCGCTGTCTGTGCTGCAGGATTTTAGTTGGTTGGGGTGACATCTAATTTAATGACTGTAGCACAATATATCTGTTCTAATAAAATTGCTATTTTTATTAGAGCAAAACTTTATCAAGTCAACAAAACTTCATTTTACTTTTATTTATTTATATGCTTAAAATAAAGTTATCCTTTCCATTTCTAGTTTAGGAAGACTGAAAATGATTGAAATAACTGTGAGTAAAGAATCATAAAAAGTTTGAAATTAACCTATACAGACACCTATACCATTTCTTTTAAAGCTCTGATTTTTAACCAGATCATGATATAAGCAATGTGATTGAAAATACTAGTGTTGGTATAATTATAAAAAGAAGTGGTGCTTTTTAACTTTGAGTGTCACAGCCAAAGCATAAACTGTTGACTCAAGTAACATACGCTGTACACTTGTGTGTTAGGTGACCTTTTCCTGCGCCTGCGATGATCAGTATGTGGGGGCCTACTGTGAGGAGTTTGACGCCTGCCGGAGGACACCCTGCCAGAACAACGCGAGCTGTGTCGACGCGAAGGAGCAGCAAGACGGGAGCAATTTCACCTGCGTCTGCCTTGCTGGTATGGTTTGCGGAGCTAACCGTTTACGTATCACTCGGTAGACTCTGCGCTTGTTAACTAATGGTGGTTAAACAATACTTCACCTGGCTGTTGAACAAGGGGACTTCAAGGTCACATTTGATTCCATCAGTCTATGCTTTATATACTCGGGAGATGGAAGAAGGAAGTTCCCATGGGGACGCGCATCCTGCCCCTTGGCTGGCTTTCTGACTTTTCCATTATAGCATTTCACCATTTTTGTTCTGGGAGAATGATATTCTCGGTCAAACAGAGGCCTGGATGTTTCAAAAACAATTCTGCAAAGTGGGCACTGAGTGTGGGCTGGCGCAGCGCTGGGTGATTGTGCTAAATAACTTAAGAGAAATCCAGGGCAAGCTACCCAGGTTGTTAGGGAAAGCCACCTAATCTTTCCCTTTATGTTAAGTATGTTCATTGGCCCGAGTTCTTGGTACACCTTCTCCACAATGAGGCAAGTCGCTAATATTCCTTGATTAGTACAGGGGATGCATGGATATCACAGGAGACTTTCAAATCCTCGAAGCACAATGAGCGACTCTTAGGAGACCTCGGTAGACAGTGGGCCGCAGACTTCAGTGCTCTGCCAGCCACCTTAACTGACGGACAGCGTAGCCAGCTGACTCTAGGCCTTCAAGGAGCAGGACTGGCATTTACCATGAACATGTTGCTATAGCTGTTTTGATGCAGCTTAAAAGCAAGCACTAAATTACTCCTTTTTTAATATCAAATAACGTGACTTCATCCTTCAAAACTGAGATCTCTCCTATTCCATCTCATTCTGTTGCCAACTTCTGGCACCGGGTGGGGATTCAGGACGAGGTAGGCGGTGGCGATAGAGAGGGGGGTGGAGTGAAGTGGGATTTGAGAGATTAAGTGCTCATTGTAAGCGACAAGACCTAACAATCCAGAAGTTTATAAATGAAAAGGTGAAAGTCCTTTACTTACCTATTAACCCAAACTTTATCATATCATAGGGGTAGGTTAATGACTTGGTATATTCTGTCTTGACCTCTGTGTGCATTTCTCTTGCAGATCAAGTATTTTTCTATATGTATTGACAAGTGATTATAGTATATACATTGTTCTGTAAGTTATTTTTTTCTGGTAGATCATAGATATCCTTCCATGTCAGTACATATGGAGCTACCTCATTCATTTCAACAGTTTCGTAGTGTGTCTTCTCCTAACTTTGTATCTCCAGGTCGGGGGCCCCTCCAAACCCACTTATCTAACTGCCTACTTGGCATCTCCCTGATAGTCCCCGTTGTTCCTCGTGCTCTAGAACAAATCCTAATCGGAGGTAGAAGAGATTTAAAAAATGTTACCCTGGGACCTGAATTCTGTCTGCGTAAGTGGGTTTCTACTTTGTCAGTTCCTAAGTGCTTTCTTTGGGTGTCCTTAGAACAATCTCTGAGTTAAAAGAATTCTTAATTGTACCGATTTCATAAGTGAGAAAACTGAGGCACAGGGAATTTTGTAAGTTGGCCAAAATTGTTAGGGCAACGCTCGACTGTACTGCAGTAACACGTCACTCCCCACATCTCAGTGGCTTCCAAGGAAAGGCTAATTTCTGCTGTGTCGTAGTCGGATGAAGGCACTTGCCCTCCAGGTGGTCACTCAGGGATCTGGAGGGTGTTGTGTGATGCTCTGAGAACAGCGCCTGGAAGTGTCGGATGTCACTTCCATCACGTCATTAGACAGAATTTGGTCACTTAGTCCCTAAAGCTCTGCCTGGGAAGAGGTGAGCATTCTCATGGTCTTCACCATGCCAGGTGTACTTGCCAGTAACTACTGGGGCTGGGATTTGAACCCAGGTCTTCCTGCCTGCCTCCAAAACCCATGTTCTCTACCATCTTCTTATACTTTCTTTCTGTGTACAAAGCCACACTGTGTGCTGAGTACTTTCCTCATATAAATATGACTCAAGCCCATGCCATTCAACTTCCTCCTCTCAAACAGGTCTCTTAAAAAAAAAAAGTATGAGGCAATTTTATCCAGAAAGGGGACTGGCTGCTCAAAATGAGGACCTTTATACTAAATTTAGTTCTTCATGTCTCTTGAAAAATTTATTTTCCATTGGAAAGCTACATTTCCTTCGTGGAAGAACTATTTACAGGTTAATTAACATGAACTCATTGATCCCGAAGCTCCAGATACAGACATCAGACCCCACAAACAGTGGAAAGTGTGCTTTCCTTTTGAAAATGTGTCCTGCTGGGCTCTGATTGTTTCACATTTGATTGCCTGATGAATGAATGAATTCAAACCAAAGCACAAAAATCCCCAATAAAGTCTTTTCGCTGAGGCATAGTCTTGCCTCGGTGCTTGTTTCTCTCATGAGGAAAACATTTCTTGGTAAGTGAAAATAGTATTTCCAGCCAAGAAGCTTCTGCTCCAATTTTGCTAATATTTTGATATTTTGCTATAATCTCTACATCGAATGCCAGTACAGATAGAAGTTTCTGAGTCCTGGGTAATCTGTGAATGAATGTGGTACATTGGATATTGAGTTGATTAAGTAGCCAACTGTTAGTTTTCATGGTTAATACAATTTCTTGGAAAGCTAGGAGATGGTTTTTAAAATAGTAAACCATTGATAAATGCCATGTACATGACATACAATATAAAATGAATCACAGAATGTGGTTGGAGCGGAAATTTTTATCAAGTATGATGGATTTTTTTAAAAACTTTCTTGCAATACTTTCAACCGCATCAGTACTGCAGGAGCACCTAAGAGGAGGTTACTGGCTTTGCCAACGGGGTTTGTCCAAGCCATTGGCAGCCTCCTGATTGCACGGATGTGATAGGGCTACACAAGCTGTGAGGTCTCCCTGAAAGAGTACATACAGAATGAGAAGGTTTAGGCGTCATAAGCTGTCTGGCCTCTTTCAATATCACGGCTTCTTATTTAGGTTTAAGGGAAGTAGAATGAAAGGGACTATTTAAAAAATAGCAATGGGTGGTGCTCATGTAGTCCTTAATGACTACAATAGTGGGTACCTATGGTGTCCCTGGCTCTGTGCTGGGAGCTGGGGACAAAAATCACCAGCACCTGCTCTTAAAGAATAGGGAAGTATGTCTGCAAACAGTGCAGCGACAGGCACAGTAACAGCCTCAGAGGGTCCCACTCATGAAAGGAAAAAGCATGTGTCCACAGCGCAGTCCGTAAGGGCTTTCTGACTTGGTATATTTGACTTCCACTCTGTGAAATTTCCTGTTATCTGCATTATATGTGTGATTCTTAAGTGACTAATATTCATCTTTGCTATTAACAACTGTTTGCTGCTAGTTTTCCAGATGAGAGGTCCTCAGGCTTTAGCATGCACCATGTATGAGAGTCACCCGGAGGCTGTCTTAAGACCCCAGAGCCCCTGCTTCTCTGGTCTGGATGCTGCCGGTGAATCTGCATTTGTAACAAGTTCCAGGCGAGCCTCTGCTGCTGGTCGGGGCACCACGCTGGGGGAGCCGCTGCTCTAAGCTGCCTGTTGAAAACAGAGATCAAACAATATGGGCCCATTGCGTGGCAGTGCTCAGATGCCTGTTATTCATTCATTCAAAAATATTGAGCTTCAGGCTGCACTTGGTGGGAGCGGCTGCTGCTCCTGGAGTGGGTCTCACTGTCACTGCTGCTGTCCCGGGAGGGACCCAGGTACATATGACCCCTTCCTTTCGCCCCTGAGGGAAACGAAGGTCAAGGTCAGCGGTTTTGCTGCGCTCACTCAGCGGGTCCTTGCGTCACCATCCGAGACCTTTCACCCCCGAAAGGACCTTTCACTGTCCTTCCCACTGTGCCTTCTGCCCATGTACTTATTAGATGTGTTACTTTTCTTCTGACCTTGAGATTGATTTTCCTGATCGCGCTGACGTCAGCGTTCTCTCATGCTTTTCCATCCCGTAGCCCCATTTTATGCTTTATTAATTGCCTCTCACAGGCGGGCCTCCTAGGTCCTATTCTCTTTGCCTTTGGCTTTTAAGTCGTGTTTGCATGCACTCAGATGTATTTGTCCCCCCGCCAGCGGATCTTACACGGTTTTTCTGTTGCATAATTCCTGCCTTCCGACTTTGATATTGGATGCCCCTGAGACTGACCGTCTCGATGGCACACGGGTCCCTGCTATTTATTTCTGACTTCAGTTGCTACCGTTAGGCATCCGTCTCAGCGGCAGTGGCCGAGCCCCAGCTCAGATCCCCCGAGGGCAAGGCCGGGGCCGGTGGGCTCTCCAGGGGCATCAGGCTTTCAGGACAAAGCTAGCACAGGCTGGGCTATTAAAAGACCAGGATGTTAAAAATAGTCCTCGCCACAGTTCTCACCTTGGAAGCTTTCAGAACAGCTCTCAGAAGAAACCATTAGATTCTGCCTCTCAGAATGAAGGCGACACAGAGGCTATTTTTATTTCAGTAGCAGAATCGTGAAGAAAACATCATCTAGAAAAACAGCTGTGCAGGGACGGAGACTGTTTAGGGAAACAACCAGTCGATTGCCTTGTTTTTTAACAATCTGACTCACTTGGCCAACTTTGCTGATGCCGTTGAACTCCAGGTGGTCTTCCTTCATCTGAAGAGTACAGGATAGGTATTGATTTGGGGGTGCTGGAGGGGGCACTCAGGTTTTTTTTGTTATATTTACAGCAATCAAAAGACACCACCAGGATGTAGTTTCCTTCGAAGCCATTCTGACACAGGGAACTTAGCTAGGTTTCCCTCTCCATTCACTGACAAATTTCAAATCACATTTTATACTTAAATAGAAACTAGTATAGAATTAAATACTCCAAGTGTACATCAGACCCAGTGTAGTCTGGTAGCGTGCCCACCGAGTGGGTTTGTAGCCCAGTGCGTTTCCTTAACGGTGTCTGGTCTCCTACCATCTGCTGGCCCTGCTTCCCAGATATGAACATGATTTTATCTAATGTCATTTCTCAGGGTCAGCTGCATAAGCCTCAGTGTAGAGCTTCTCCATGCATCCCATGTGTCCTTGAAAGGCTTCCTTACTGTATATCCCGAGGCACAACTTTTCTCAGATCCTTTTTGTTTACTAGAATGCTCTCTGAAGAAACAATAGACCTTTGTGATTGACCCTACAAGGAGAGGTCAGTGTTGCAAATGGTCAGCTATTGTTGACGAATAAGCTAATTTATTCTTTGAATATCACAATGATAAATTCCTCAGTAATTAAAGTTTTTATAGTCGAATAATTTTTAAAAAAATGATCTTTAACTTCGTAGAGGTTGTAAATACTCTCAAGGATTCCGATCTCTAACAATGTTCTGAAAGAGCTGTTTCCCTACTTTGTAAAGGACCAGTTTCTGTTTAAGGGGAGATGAGAGGCACTGGGACAACACAAGTGTTTTTATTCTGAAAGACCAAGGTCACATTGACCTAAACCAGCATTCTTAACTCCCGCATTGGGGACATGCTGGGCTGAGTAATTTTGTTGCTGGGGACTCGCCTGTGCATTGTAGGGTGTTTAGCAGCGTCTCTGGCCTCTGCCCATTAGATGCGAGTAGCACCCCCACGGCTTTGACAATAAATGATTCTAGGCATTGCTTAATGTCCCTGGGGAAAGAATCACCAGTGGAGAACCACTCACCTCAGGGATTAAACCTGGACGGGGCTGTTGCAGGAGGCTAGATGAAATTAAATGGGCAAAATGCTCGTAATTGTTGAAGCTAGGCGAGGGATATGTGACGGTTATATACTAGTCTCTCTAATTTAAATATGTTTACAATTACCAAATAAAATATTTGAAGAAAGCATTTCCATCTGGTGGGGACACACGCCTCTAACAGATGCTACCTGAGGGGCTCCTGGCTGTTTTTCATGGTTGCGTGTCATTCTGTGGTCACAGGGCTAAGGCCTTTGTAATGACAGGATTCATGACACTTCATACTTTAAGCCATGCTGCCGCTGAGAAGCTATCATTTGCAATGGGTTATCTTTTCCATAAATGTACTTTTGTAGCCATATTGTAGAACCTTCGAAGGCAGGATTTAAAGAAGTAAAAATTCTTGGCCTCTGCAGCCCGAGCATAACCACATACAGGCTGTGGGTTATGGATCAATATTTACGGTGTTTACTTTATGGCCATCTCTGTGCTTACCTATATGTACATTTTCTTATCGGTCCCTTTCTGTTGTTTTTTACATGCTGGTGGGTGATGTCATGCCTGCTGTCGGAGGCATAATGCTCCTTTAAGGATTTCAGCTCAGGAGTTCGGCTCCTTGTGCGATTTGGTGCAAATGACTTAACCTTTCAAACCCTCAGTTTCCTCATTTGTAAAGTGGGCCAGATTATCATAGTACTGACCTCGGGGTTGCAGTGAGGATGAATTAATGTGCGGGGGAAATACCTGCTCAATTATAGATATCAGCTATTAGTTAGAGCCAAAACTTTACTTGTTAACTTTCCTCTTAAAACCAGTTCAGTCTCCTCCATCCTGAAGGCAGAGCTTTCATTTGAAAATACGGTTTTAATGTGAAGTGGCCTATTAGAATCATTCCTTCTGGAATTGGGAAATGCCTTTTTGTCGCGGCCTTTGGATTTTCGGTCCACACGATTGTGTCACTCACCTCCCCGTGCCCAGGGACTGGCTGGAACCTCCTGGCCGTTGGGAAGCATGAAGGGCGGAGCAGGGCTGCAAACAGGAGCCTCCGCGGCCCAGGCTGCGACCGAGGCGCCGGCAATCATCCCTCTCGCAGCATCGGGATTTATTTTTACAAACCTCAGATTCAAGTGCTGATGACAGTTTTTCAAACTAATAATTCAGAGAGACACGTTTTTATGTATATCCCAGAAATGTAAACTATTACAGTATGATTATAATTGTGTAGAAAATACCTGTGCATACAATTTCTGTTGGAAATTAGCTCTGTCACTCAAATAAAAGATCTAAGGGCAACTTTTTTTTTCCTTTCTATTTTCTATTTTGTATTTTCCAAATTTTTTCATAACCATTTCCCACTTCAGAATGAAAAACATTGGCATGTTGTTTTTTTCAAACATGTCTCTCTGGAGGGCTTTGTTTTCAAAGTTAATAAAATATTCAGAATTTATTTAAGCTTTTTGGCTACATAGGAATTCTAATAGGTTTAGGTCCTTACTCATCACAGGTGTGTGGTTATATGACTGTTCAACAAAATCAGCACTGAAGGCTCGCTTTACAGAGAATTTATGAGGTGCATTTGTGATTCAAATAGGAATTAATATTAATATATTGATGTGCTTAACATTGTGTCTAAATCTCTTTAAAATGAGGGGGTAGGGTATGGAACGAACATAGAGAGTTTCTTCTAGCTCTAAAATATTGTAAATTAAAAAAAAATTTAATATCTAGAAAATGTTCCTAATGCTTTTATTTTTTTAAATAATTTTTTTTGTTAATCTTCACCTGAGGATAGTTTTTCATTGCAAGGGAGGGTGGGGAGAGAAAGAGAGAAACATCAATGTGAGAGAGACACATAGACTGTCTCCTGCACACACCCTGACCGGGGCTGGGATTGAACCCGCAACCCAGGTACATGCCCTTGACTGGGAATCAGACCTGTGACCCTTTGGTGCTCGGGCCGACGCTCTAACCACTGAACAACACTGGTCAGGGCCCTAGTGCTTTTTAAAATAGGTGTTGGGGTGGCCTAGGGAAGGTGCCTGTCATCTCAGGTGGATCAAGCAGAACATTGTGGATTCCGATTTGCCCCCTGTCAGAGGAAGCTGTCAAACAGGCTTGGTGGATTCAGTCTCAGCTCCTGAAGGTCCTGGCTGGTATTTCAAAATAAAGGGCAGAACTGATGCCGAAAAAAGTCTGCCTGTGCCATAAAGATTCTTGCAAAATATACGAGTTTTGAACTATGATTCTAAATTGCTATGATTGTCTCTAGTTGCAAAACCAAGTTAGATGAAGGAGTTGGTGGGAGAGGTGTGCTCAGGGCTGTTGCCTTCGTTGGGTGGGTACCGGTTGACTCTATCAGTTCATGGGGTGGTTCCTGGTGGTTTTGGCATAACACATTTTATAAAATGTCTTTCTCGTTTTGTTCAGGCTATACTGGAGAGCTTTGCCAATCCAAGATTGATTATTGTATCCTTGACCCATGCAGAAACGGAGCCACGTGCATTTCTAATCTCGGTGGATTCACCTGCCAGTGTCCAGAAGGTAAATAGTATTGCCCCAGGGAAACCTTTTGTTTTCCGTTTTAAATCATGAATTAATTTGATCAGCTTTGTACTGTAAATTTTTGAAAAACACCGTACAAAAGGACTTCCTATTTTGTTCCATTTATAAAACAAAATATGAGGGTTTTTTTTTAGCTCTATGCTAGAATGGCTTGAAAATTATGTTTGAATATTAGACACGACCTTGGAATGTCTGTGATTTTTATTTATATACTGAAAACAAATAACTATGATAAAATGGAATTTCTTATTGAGATTCCTATTTTGTTAAATTATTTGTTTCTTTGATACCAGCTCACATAAAAAAACATTTCAGCGTAAAGTTCACCTGCTTTTGTTTTTAAACAACTTTATAACATCTCAGAAATTTCATGTCACCTGGAAACCACGTCTTTAGAGCTGTTTTTAAAAAAATCGTTTTATGAGTTTATTTGAGCCAAGCTGACGACAGTTGCTGGGAAGCAAATCTCAGATGCTCCCTCGTCAGAGCGGCTTTTATTTGTGAGATAGTTTTACGTCAGAAGTTTCACGTGAAGAGGCGGGCGGGTGAGCACAGCTACCGAGCTGGCGTCCGGGGAATGGTTTTGTACTTGGAGGACGTTTTGTTTCTAGTTCTGCTTGGGGGATGTTATGCGAGGAATTACTTTAAACCTTTGATGTTGCAAGAATGACATATTAGAGGTTTTTCTTCTTAAAACCAGCATGTAAGCTCCCGATTCACAGACGTGACGTTGACAACACACACAGGATACACGTAGAGCGCGAGTGTGGGAGGAAACATCCCGGTGCAGGGACCGCCCTGGGCGCCGGCCGTGAGGCTGGAGGCGGCGGCCCGGATGGGTGCTGATGAAAGGCCATGGCCACCCAGTGCCCGAGGGCCCAGGGTTCCTGGCAGCGTCTCCTGCTCTTTGAGATTTTGAAGGCCTGAATATCAGCTGAAGGTGGTCCTGGCTCCTGCTCACCTGGGCAGGGGCTGGATGGCTTGGGCCTTGGCTTGTTCCTCTCTAGCTGGATGTGCTTGTGATGACCATGGTCAGGGCACATGCCCAGGTTGTGGGTTCGATCCGGGGAAGGATGCTTATGGGAAGCAACGGATTTTTGTTTCTAACATCAGTGTTCCCCCCCCTTCTAAAAAAAATTAAAATAATTTTAAAGTAAATTACAGACATAACGGCACTTCATACTTGTGTTTGCTGAGAATAAGGACCTGACACGCCAAGGGAAGTGACTAGCATTGCCTAGTAGTATTTGCCCTCTGCCCCTTTCATTTATTCTATTTGCCTGTATTGGTTCCGTCTGTCCTGCTTCCCCGTGTTATCCTTTGAGGCCAGAGAATGAGTTTTATTCTTCTCTTGCCCACCTGCTCCCAACGGCCAACCCATGAAGCATGTAGCTCTATATTTTATATTAGCAGGGGGTCAATAAATATTTGTTAATTATAAAAGCCAATAGATATCGCTTCCTATGTCTACCAACTTCTTCGATCGTTACAATAATCCTTTGAAGCAGATACTGTTAATATTTCCATTTAATACAGAGGGAAACTGAGGCACACACAGGAATTCAGTAACTCACCTGAGATCACATAGCTAGAAATTTAAACCCAGGCAACTTGGCAGTAGTCTTTTTACCAATTTTCTGATACCATGTCTGAATCTATTCTTAAAAATCTATTTTGTGTATTTTTAAAGATTATCTTCATAGCCAGTTATGAGTAAAATAAATGCAAAGTTTGTTGGGTTCGAAAACTTTTTAAGTCTGGAAAAAGTGAGAAAAAAATTTCTTTTTTTTCCTTTCGTAAGTATAGTGAAATCCCTTTACAACCATCCCTCCCAGGCCAGACGTGGTTGAGCTGGGTTTTCCCTCTGGGCGGTGCTTTCAATCTGCACCATCACGTCAGGGCCTTTCCACCATTTTCATGTTCATTCTCTTTCCTTCAGGGACCCTTTTCCATCTGGCCTGGGCTGAGTCCTTAGAGCTTGAGCTCCTTGCTGGGTACCCGCGTCTTTGACGGCTCTGTGAGTGTGTGTGTGTGTGTGAGTGAGTGTGCGAGTGTGAGTGAGTGTGTGAGTGCTTCGGGAAGTTCCAAGCCAGGCCGGCCGAGAGGCAGCCCGTGAGGACCATCGTCTCTCTCTCCTTCTGGCAGCGTCTACACTTTAATGTTATCCCTCAGCAGTGGCTTCTGTCTTGTCTTTGTGTTTCTACTTAACTTTCACGAGGTCCATATTTGACAAGTATAGTTTCAGATTCTGGGGGTGATAAGACACAGAAGCAAAACTGTCATGAGTGTTTCCTTATATTTACCTTGTTGAATGACAACAACAAAGATTAGTAATTAGAAGCTGGGTTTATTGCCTAGGTATTTACTCTTTGCATTGGTATTGTCTTTGTGTTTGGTTTAGGACTTTGAGACCCTTAAATTTTTCAACTAAGTGCATTTTAATTCTGGAGCTGTCTAATTATATGTACTTACCATTACTGCCTATTGTATTTACTTATATGAATATACTTAAGTATGTATATACATAAAATCTGAATATTACTGTCTAGCCATCCTCTGCTTCAGCATCTCAATTTTTATTCCCCACTCCTTGCTTCAGAATTTGAAGTAGAATATCACATAAATTAATAAGGAGTAAAGAGAGAAATCAATAGAGATGAAAACATTGTCAGTTCTGCACATGTGACCATTCACATCACACAGGTCACGTCTCACGTAATCTAATGACCTTTCTGAAACCTTCCTGCTATAGAAGGCATGTAGTAATCAAAGACTGAAGTGAGCATATGGAGCTTCATGCGACATTTCTCCAGTGTGTTTTAAAAGCATGAATGTAAAGACATTTTCTAGTGCTAACCTTCCGATAGGACTCTAGACACATAGCATTTGTATTAACTGCTCTTGCATGACAGCCATGAAGATAAGCACTGCGCGCGGGGAGGGACTCATTCCTTCAGTCCCGTAACTGTTACCCACGTTGGGTTTTGCTGTCGGATGCTGCAGATCTTATAACTTGGAAACTCCATTGCCAAGTGTGGAGAGCTGGTGTCCTGATTCTGGTCCTGATGACCTAGCAGAAGAGTGGAGTGGCTGCAAATGTGGATCTTTAGGGTCACACTGTGGGTTTGAAGTCTGGACACACCGTTTTCAGCTCTTAGAAAATAGGGGTGATACTGGTACACCCTTCGTAAGTTGGTGTGTGAAGTACATGGCTTAGGTCTGTGCTTGGCAAATAGTAAGTGCTGAATAAATGTTATCTATGATGATGATGATGATGGAGAATTAGTCGTATCACCTTGGGTGAGTCATATAATTTCTCTCCCAGCCGTTGTTTTCTTATAAAATGATGAGGGTTGACTACTTTACCTTTTAGGAGCCCCATTCCTAAAAGTTCAATTCAGATATATCAGTTTAAGAGCCCCTTGCTGGGTCAATAAATCCATCTTGTTTATTCAAATCATGTTTATAGAGAAAAGTTTTAAAACCTCTAAGCGACTCTAAGGAAGGCCTGGGTCTAAAACTTAAGGTTGAGCCAAAGGCCCTGAAGCTTAAATCCCATTGCAACATGCTCCAAAGTTTTATCCAAACTATTTTTTGTTTTTCTACACTTTATAGCCTTGAGTAATTTAGTCATATAAATCCTTTTGTTCAATGCAAATGTCAGTGGTGATGCTTTTCATCTTAAAGGGATTTACAGCAATAGTCACACATGTCATAAAAATTATCTCTGAGATTAATGTGTGTTGCTCAGGAAGTGGGCGTGTCACCCAATAAGGATTTAGGAGTTACCCAGTTCTAGGATTTGTTTGTTTTCCCTCAGAATCCTGATATGTATGAATTCGCTGAAAGCCCTCTCTTAGGACCATATAAAATTGCATATATTTACGTAAGAAACGTGCCACATGTCCTCATAAAATTACCACGCCTGAATGAAATACTGTTCTTATTCTTTTAAAATTTGACTTTATCCCTAAATCACCATTTCACTTCGGGACTGTAGCAGCTGAGATCCTCGGGGTTCCAAGTGCTGTGTGGTTTCACCTTTTGGAAACAAAGCAGGGAATGAAGACTTATTAAGTGTGCATTCACTTTTATTTCTATGTTTGGTACATGTTGATTAATTTGTGATTTACAGCTGAGTCCATATTTCTTTTTTTGTTCTCTCCCCCTTTTCTTTCTTATAGCACAGTTTCTCTGAGGTGGTTGAAATAAAAACACTGTGAGGGATTTTGCTGTTTTTCCCGTTAGCAGTGGGGGCCAGCTGCACTCACTTCTAACGAATGCCTGGGTCCCACCCCTCACCTCGAGCTCTTCTCTTTGGGAACCATTCTGATGCCCAGCTTAGGGCTGGCACATGGTAGTGGTAAGTTAGAAAGGCACTCACTCTAGGTTCATGTTGCTGTACTCAGTTATGAATATTAATAATCCACATAGAATATTCCAAGTAGGAAGAAAGATGGGTTAAAAATGCAAGGAGATGCGAAGGGTCCATGACTTTGGGGAGAGCCAGTATTTCGGTAAGGCCAAGAGGAGTGTGGAAAGTGTACGCAAATGAAGGCACTGGTCAGAGGCCCCATCACGAATAGTCTTCTGTGCCACACTAAGTCTACATTTCATTCTGAGGCTCCCGGATATCATCTACTTGTGTGTGTGGTTCGATATCTCTAATTGCAAGCAATGTGTAGAGTGAATTAGAGGAGGCCAGGACTGGAAGCAGGAAACCTGGTGTTTGCTCGAGTGACGGAGGTGAGAAGGGCAGAGGACCAGTGTGTAGCACTGGGGACAAAGGCCGCGACGGAGTGGGCGGAGGTGACACAAGTTATGTCCTCAGTCACGAGGAAGGGCTGCAGGCTATCAATACCAGCAGATTAGGTAAGTGAGTGCCCAGAGGAAGACGCAGGACTTTCTGGCTAAACCTCTGCATTTCCACTGTTAATAACCAATGATTTTTGCTCATACAATTCATCTGCTTTAAGTTTTCTCTCTTCTGACTTTTATCTATTTAGTCTAAACTGGGGAGAAGTTGATTTCATGGTCCTCTATTTCCTAGCTATTTGTCATTTCCTAACTTAGCTCTAAATTCGTCTTTTTGTCCTGCTAAAAGGTCCTGAAGGTCGTTTTTACTCTCACGTGGATCTTCTTAAAAAATTAAAAGTTCCGCTTGAAATGTAATTGTCTTGGGTCTTTTATATCCGATGGTTTTGCAGTTGCTTTTCCTAGATGTCCCGCTTCTCTCTGTCTCGCATAGCCGTCTGCTTTCTTAGAGCCTGAACAAGTGCGGTCCCCACTCAGTTTGCCATCGACAGCGGCCAAAACCACCTCTCTGATCCCGGCGTCATGTCGCAGGCTGGCTTTGGGCCCGGCGCGAGCCCCCGCTCCTGGGAGGCTTTCGGGCCCGCACACCCCGACAGCCCCCCCTCCTGAGCCACTGCTGCTCTCGGCCTGTGCCGGTCCCAGCGAGGGGTGTGGCCCGGGATGGGGCGACCAGGGAAAGCCCCGTGTAGCACTGAAGCAGGAGGAGCAGGGGCTCCAGGCCGTGGGGTGCCGCAAGGCTCCAGGCGGGGCCGCTTGTCATTCCCGGGAACTGGGTGGAAGGCAGGGGTCAGCTCCTGGAGAGGCGGGTCAGAGTGGTCAGCTGAGCCATGGCCCGCAGGACTTGTGGCCCGTGGAAGGGAGGCAGATTTCATTCTAAGGGCGATGGGAAGTGATGATATTTATACTCTAAGAAAATCATTTTCGTTGCTGTTTGGGAAATTGGGTGTGGGGGCGAAATAGAACAGGACTCTCACCAGAGGAGACTTGGAGCAGACGGGGGGAGAGAGAATTGTGGTTACACCAGGATGGTGGCAGTGAGGTGATACAGAACATTCGCGTTCACAAAGTACTTTGGAAATAGAATCTGTTGACATCACTGATTGGTTAGATCCGGGCGTTAAGGGAAAGGAGGTAGTTGGGTATGATTTCTAAGTTTCTGACTCCAACCATTTGCCACGACAGTGGAATCACAAGTTTACCATATAATTTCTTCTATATAAATGGTCGTTACCAGGTCAGCAAAAATGCCAGTATTGCTTTATCCCATATCTCCCTTTATCAATCTTGGAGAAACTTCTCGCACTAGATAGCTTTCTCAACAGTGACTTCATTGATGATATTTATACTTGTAATTTAAAATCTTCCAGAGATGCTTTCTTTTGGTCTTAAATATGTGATTTCCATAAGGCGTCTATCTCAGGGGTGCTGATTTCGTTTTCACTTACAGAATGAATGGTCAGCCGGCATATTCATACAGATATTGGTTCTGATACAAAGCCTGAAGCAGCAGTCAACTCAGTAACTTATAGCTGCTTTGCATTAGCCCCTCATTCCTTAGAGATTTCCTTTGTCGTTCTGTTTTGTTTTCCATTTAAATCCTTTAATCTTCCACCCTTTTCTAAGCTTCCCCATATTATGAGTTGTTTTTAGAGGCTGTCACTGCTGGCGGTTCTCCCATGTGTTTGAGTTGCCCTCTGGAGCTCTTGGGTTTTCTTTCTAATATTTCCCGGTGACCATCAATCACATGAGGTTGGGACGACTTGAAACAAACTATTCCAGCCAAGAAATGCCACTGTCTTCATTGCTCTCTGCACCTGTGGGTTAACATTATCAAATTGTTTTCCACTGTCTGCCTTCAGGTGGGGTTATAAATTCAAAGATATTAGCTTCCAGTCAGGACTGCGCGTCGCTCCTCCAGCGTGGCCAGCTGTCATTTCGGAGACACTGCCGCCGTTGTTCCTGTTGCTTATGCGGCGGCGTGCCACACGGCAGCGCCCGTTCGTTGTCTTACATTGAGCTCTTCCGGTCTGGGGGCGTGAAGGTGTCTGTGAATGTGGCTGAACCCAAGAATTTTGTTACATTTTGTTTCTCAGTCCTCTTGCCTTTGCCACCATCCTTCTGTTTGCGTTTCTGCAAGAGGCATTTTCAGAAATATTGCCCTGAAGAGATCATTATTGATAGACTGACCAGTCAGATGAACCTTCCAGACGGTTGCCCACAACCAACCCAAAGCAGCCGACGCTTCTTCCTCCCCACTCTGCACCTGTCCCAGAAGCAGCCCGGCCTCACCTTTCCTGTCTCCCTGATCTCCAGCCAAAGTGAATTCTTTCAAAATAACTGGCATCTTTCTTCCCCATGCTCATATTGAATAGCCCTTCCAGCCCCAGGACGGGGGATTGTCTTCTCTGCGCAGCCCCGATGCTGGTGGTTTCGATGGCGTGCCCCAGACCTGGTCCTCCTGGTTAGCGTATGGCTATAAGAAACCCTTTCTTTCACAAACACACTTGGCCTTGCAGGTTATTGTTTAACGTGAGGTACCCCAGGGCTCCCTGAGAATATAAAACATTATTCGCATTCTCATCTTGCTCTTATCTCTTCTTGAGTTGGTAATAACTGGTAACTTGTCCTGCGGTCATAACGGCGTGTTGAAGTGTCTCCTTTGCAACCAGAATGAAATGGGAAATGTCTCCTGAAGGATGGGACTCTCGGGAGAATTCCAGTGCAATTAAAGCTGACTGTGTGGTCCATTCTTGGGATGATTTCTAAAATTTAAAAACGACCCAAAACTTTATAACATGTTGACTAGCATTTGATAATGTTTGAACTTTCTATTTTGTACAGAAAAATACCAAGCTGATCATGCCAGTTTTTGGATGATGCTTCAGGTGGTTAAGTCTGGGAACAACTTCTGCTTTGTGCACTCACCTTTTCCTTAACAATAGCAACAGCACCTGCCGGCATTGCTAGTTCTGTGTGCAGATAGGTAAATACAAACTTAAATGTCGATAAGAACAGTGAAACCGAATATCGAAATAAAAACTGTATACAAAAAAATTATTTAACTCTTGTTTCTAAAATTTGAATAATCTTCATTGAATTTCCAAAGTTCTCTTAAAATATCAAAAGAAAATTAGATTTCACTCGAAGCATTGTTAAATACCTACACGGACACACAGGCCTGCAGACCCACACACATATGTAACACTGTTAAAACTGAGAAATACGGAAACACACACACAAAAACCCAAAATAAAAATCACCTGTACAGTAAACACATTAAAAAATTAAAAAATGTAGAACCTTTAGTGAAGTATAATTTACACATAATGTTACTCATTTTAAGAGTCCAGTTCAATGCATTTTAATCGGTATGCAGAGCTGTATGACCATCACCACAATCTAATATTAGAACATTTGCATCAACCCCTAGAGACTCGAAGTCAACCCTTCTTCCCACCCCAGCCCCAGGCAGCCACCAATTTACTTTCTATATCTTTAGATTTGCTTTTTCTGCACATTTCTTATAAATGAAATTATGCAATATGCATTATTTTGTAGCTAGCTGCTTTCACAGAGCACACTTTTTTGAAGTTGACTTATGTTGTATCATGTCTCAGAACTTCCTTTTCATTGCTGAATAGTTTCCTGTGTACGGATATACCACAGTGTATCCAGTGCAATAACCAACTTTAAAAAATACATACATTCAAGAACCGCCAAGAGTGGCTGCTTCCAGAGAAGGGAATGTGGGGACAGAGGAAAAAGTGGGGGAAAGATTCTTTACTGTGTACTATTTTATATGGGTTTAATTTTTAAAATTCAGGATTATATCTCTATTAAAGCAAAGTAAGGAATGTCTTTCCCCAGGAATGTGTCTAGAATAAGAGGTGAAAGCTCTCTGCTGCCCCCAGTCCCACTTTCCCGAGGGTAATNCAAAGTAAGGAATGTCTTTCCCCAGGAATGTGTCTAGAACAAGAGGTGAAAGCTCTCTGCTGCCCCCAGTCCCACTTTCCCGAGGGTAATCACGGTTACTATAGTTTGGGCATCTTTTGGGCCTATCCGTGGACACACGTGTATGCCGTGTAAATGCGTTCCTGCCCCTGCGTGTCTCCACATCTGAGCGGCCGCATCTTCTACTTCAGGAAGCACCGGCGCTAATATTTAACCCCGGTACCCCCACTAAGCAAGCCTCCCTGCCCGCCTTCGTGCTTACCTGCACGCTGCTGATGGATTCACCGGCCGGTCGAGTCAGCGAGGAAAGGGCTCTGTGCCCAGCGGGTTAGTTATGTGCAAACACGGCTTAACTTTTTTTAACGCGCCCTTTGGGGCTGTCTCCCGGCAGGGTACTCCGGCGCCGCCTGCGAGGAGAAGGTGGACCCCTGTGCCTCGTCGCCCTGTCGCAACAACGGCACCTGCTACGCCGAGGGCCTGCGCTTCGGCTGCAGCTGCGCTGCGGGCTTCACGGGCCCCGCCTGCGCCCAGCTGGTGGACTTCTGCGCGCTCAGCCCCTGCGCCCACGGCACCTGCCGCAGCGTGGGCACCAGCTACAAGTGCCTCTGCGACCCAGGTGGGTGCCGCTGTCCCCGCAGGCCCTCCGGTCCCCAGTCGCAGAGGCGCCTGGCCCTGCTTTGGCAGCTGAGCAGACCAACATTTGCTGAATGTGCCTGCCTGTCCGTGTGAGGGACCTCCGCTCAGTGATGACACGCTTTTTCCCTTAGACTTACCCTTGGCAGGGTTTTAAAAAGGCCCTCTCCCCCTTTTATGAGCAGTTCACGATCGCAGAAAAAGAAGAAAATACAAGTAAGCAAAATGAAGAAAATTAAAAATGGTCCCGGTCTTACAGCAGCTTAATTATTTTTTAAGCAATTTACTAAAGGCCGTTCCACAGCTTGGACCGTATTGCATGTCTTTTAATACTGGGCTTTTAGGTTAATGGGATATGTTTTTCCATTTTAATGCACATAAGAAACAGAATGCGCTCCGTTCAGAATTTTATCATCTAGTAAAATCCTCACTCTGTGCACCGTAGGTTATAGGAGCTGCCGAGACTCCTCTTGTAAATGATCTAAAGTTCCATCACTTATTTTCCAAATGTCTGCTGTGCTTTACTGACTCTTTATTGCGTGAGTTTTGATTCTCAAAAGTCAGTGGTTACTAGTGAAAGTCTGTGTTTGCACCACCTCTGTGTGGGTCTGAAATCCGTGCAGGCCGCCCTTTCTTCCCCTGCGTCCCCTCTGCCCATCCTCACAGGAGCTCGCTCTTCAGACGACTCCCCAGCAGGACTCCCACAGGCGTCCGCGACCCATCCACACGGATGGCTGATTCCCTGGTTTTGCTTGACTCCTGGTTCTGCTCCTGCAGTGCTTTCCCATGGATGCCTGATCCCGACACCTCATGTCACCTGCCAACTTCTTCTGCGGCTGAATCGGCTTCCTTTCCTCGAGTTCCACAGTCACCCACAGTATCATTTGCCTGGTCTTTAGAACATACTACTTATCCTTGAATGTGTCTCTCTCCCCCTTGGGGTAGGAGGAAGTGTGTTTTATTAGTAACTTGTGTAACAATAACAGCCCAAGGCACCATTTCCTGAGCACTAATCTTTCTATTTTGAGCTGGATGCTTTGGTGATGCCCTGCAAAGTAGATACGATTGGACCATATTTACAAGGAGGTGTGAAATGCCTCCTACCCTGGTCCAGTCTGTGCCTGTGGCCACACACCCAGTACGGGGCTGAGCCCAGAATCTAGCCCAGCTGCGCTGGTTCCATAGCCCCAAAACTGATCCAGGGGCACACACACTTCACGCTCATGAATCAATCAGAGAAATCAGTGGGAAATACAACTTAGCATTGAAGAACGTTGAAAAGCCTTTTTCGTCTAGACTTTTAATTCTATGGTTTTCTAAGCAATCAAGGGGTTAATTATATATATATGCTTATGTACACATATATATGCATGTATATGTATATATATATGTGCACAAGTTCAAAATCTGTAGTGCATGTTGGCAGGCTGAAAACTCAGGCAGGGTTCCTGTGTTACAGTTTTGCAACTGAATTCCTTCTTCAGGAAACCTCAGTCTTTGTTCTTAAGGCCTTCAACTGATTAGATGAGGCCCACCCACACTCTGGACAGTAATCACGTCACTCAAAGTCTACTGATTTAAATGTTAATCTTATCTGAAAATACCTTCCCAGCAACATCTAGACCAGTGTTCGACCACGTATTTGGGCACTGTGGCTTGGCCAAGTTAACATATGAAATTAACTATCCCAGTAGCATTTTTGGGTTTCCCATAAACCTCGAGGGAAGTGTCTTCACCTCTACTTATGACATGAGACTTGCGTGGGGTTTCACCTGCCCTGTCCTGTCACAGCCACGGTGGAGAAGGGACTGGCTTCCCCACGCAGCGCACGTGCTGTAGAGCCGGGCACGCTGAGGGGGGCCACGCAGTGCTGCCCCTTTGCTGCTGGGAACCTGGAGCCCTAAAGCCACTCTGTGTGCAAACTAAAGAAGCCATGGTTGTGCGGGGACAACAAGGGGGCTCACGTGTGTCCTGAGTCACGTGTGTGCTGCCCTAGATAACATGGTGGCTCCCCCGGCAGCGGTCGGAAGCGGGTCTTTCTGTCGGAGCGTTGTCCGCATCTCCTGCTTCCTTCAGTGGAGCCCCAGCGAAAGAATCAAGTGCAAGAGCAGAGGGCGGCTGTGCTTTCTGCCCCCTTCTCCTCTGACTTCCTTTCTTAACCGTGGAAAATTTCCCGTATATTTTAGATGGTTTATTTTTAAAACTTTTAATGGAATGTAGTTAAAGATAAATGTTGCTTAATATGCTTTAATAATAATAAGATGTTGCTGAATAACAATGTCAAAGGGAGTTTTGAGCCTGTGAAAGGAGGGTTACATGGTCCCGCGTGGAAGCTATTCTGCTAGTGTTTCTCCCTCCACACTGGGAAGGGCAGCCGAGGGGAGCAGAGAAACCCCTCTCTGAGATCCCCACTTATTGACTGTCACCACAGGAAATCACCGGGACATCTCTGGGCCTCAATTGTTGTTGGTTTTTCCACGAATAACATCTTAGAACCTGGTCAATTCAATTGCACTTGGAGTCACAGACGAGACCTGGGACAAGCTGCTGACCGCTTTCTTGTCGTGTGTGAGCATGGAGCGTGCTTTCCGCGTGGAGCAGTAAGAGCTGTTCCCCTTCCTTTCCGCCCATGGGGGTTTCTCCTCAAGCCGCAGAGCGGGGAAGTGCCTCTCGTTTAAGTTCCACTCATCGCTCCTGCTGTTGTCTGATCAAACTTCACTCATGTCCCTTTGGAGCACTTAGCTTGGTGATAGCCGATGTCCAGCCCCCCAGGGGCCTTGAAAAGCCCGAGGCAGCGTCTGTTCCATCCCACGATACCTTCGTCCTTTGGGCCGTCACCTGCAGTAGAGCCTTGGTGTAGGGGAGATAGAATTCCTTTCGGAGGGGTTGCTTCCTCTGGTCATTAGGTGACATTGTGTGAAATAAAAAAGGTCTCTTTGCATCTGGCAAGAATTTACATTTTAGGAGGTGAAATGACAATTCTGAGTGCGGAATTTCTAGTCTTAATCTTTTGGTGTCTATAATTGCTTTACTGCTAGTTTGCATAACAGAGCAATCTCGTGAGAGGCGGTGAAATTGGGTGTCTAGCTGAAGCGTGGCCGGCTGATCATCTTCAGAGAAAGCACCCGAATCCCACTTTGTAGAAAGGCAGCAGGTTGAAAATGTGCCAGGTTGGTAATGAGTTCCCAGCTGACAAAATGCCATTTGAGTGACTGCACTCAGCTCTGCCAGGTGCTTTATTTTCAAACCTCATTTTTAGCTTATCAGGCTGGGGATTTCATTTGGGATTTTAATATCGAATAATGAAATGTCAGCACTGAGTAATTGCTGACATGTTATCTTTCAGTGACACTGTTAAGTGACAGGATACATGTACTCTAAAAAAATTGCAAATTGAAATCTCTTGAAGACCGGAGAAAGTGAGACCATGTAGCCCTGCAAACATCGTGGGAGGCAGTGCCACAGTGTAGGGGGTCACCCACGGGTGTGACGTCACCTGTGTAAGTGGCAGCCACGTGTTTCATGGGTTCTCGGTACAATGGTGGCATTTGGAGATGCCTTTTGGACGATGACCGATACCAGAAGGAATCCCTGGTAAAGAGGGAGATGGTTTGCCTGAGTTCACCTGTCCTTGTTCCTGCCTAATACCCTTGAGTGATTACTCTTTGTTCGGTGAATTGAATTAATCCTGCATTACAGAATGCACCATAGGTTACTATTGAAGGAATTTAAAGCGCAAGGCATGAGAGGAATTTTACATGGAAATATAAAGAGCAATTTTTATTTTCATGGATAATCTTAGATGCTAATGAATTGCCGTAGACTAGACCTGGGACAAGCTGCTGACCGTGTGTCTATGCGGATTCTCTCCACCACAGGGCTGGGAACGCAATAGATCATCCAGACTATAAAAGAAAGGAAGTTTAGACTTTTTCCATATGAAGTTTTTAAAAAGGAAATTGTACAAATTTCAGGTACCGTTTTTCTGATTTTTTACGTAGGCTCTACATGTGGGCTGCGTTACTGGTCTGTGTGGGCTAAGGGACACAGCTGGCATTGAGCTGGCATCGCTGCCTTCTGTTTAATTCAGACTTGGCAATATCAGCCACTCTGATAGTGTCTGCTGGAAACAGAATCTAAGATAAGACTAAATGGTCAGGATTTTAATTGCAATTTAACAGCTATAAAGAAAAAAGTACACCTACAAAGATATGAAGACATCTGGCTTGCTAATAAATGCCAGTCACATTTAGATTCTTGGATAAGTACAGAGGACAACTTCTTTTATTAACCAGAAAACTTTACCAGGTTTACCAGGATAGAGACAACTCTTGCCTTTAACATGCTCCAGGAGGGGCCTGATCTGCATATCACATCATTTTTGAGAGTCGTAGCTCGAATGGAATGTATTGTCTCCTTTGCTTATATCCCCGTCCTGTTACCAGGCCTTTCCTCTGTTACATTCTGAAATGGATCTGCCCGCCATCGGGATCCCACAGAGTCCTGTCTACCTAACCACAGCTGTCGCAACTCTTCATAGTCTGTACTTCACCTAAGAGAAAGTTACAGCTTCAGCCTTGCTCTGCCTGCCCTCCCTGATAAGATTTATTGAGATCCTTAAGCATAGAAATGTTCCTACTTTCTAATGGCACCCATTCTAGAGTGAATCCTCCCCAAATCTCCCAACCAGAGTTCAAATCCTATAATAAGTCCCATCGAATACCCTCTTCCTGAGACACCCTAGGGTTCCCTAAGGTGTGTGTGCTCTCCCTGCAATGAGTAATCAGTCCAACTTGTTCAACAACAGATGTGTCCCTGGTAGCCTTTGGTTAAAGATCATTGACAGGACTTAGTTGATTGAAATGCTCAAAATACTGAGGGTTCTAATTGATTGAATTTTCACAATAACAATAGTTCAGTCAGAATTTCCAACGAGTCGGACACTGAAATATTGTTTAGATTTATACTCGGGGAAGGGCACTA